ACACGAGGTCGTTTGCATAAGCCCGCTGGATAGCTTTTTCAAAGCAGAAGGGCGGGCTAAAAACAAGCATGTTAACTGAAGCCAAATTTCTTTTAGAAATATTCTTTGTAATGTTGCATACAATGAAATCTAGCAAAGAGAGCAACACTTTTTAATGCTCTAGACAAGGGGAAAATTACATGCGAAATAAGTCTTACACCTCCCGCAAAATAAATGCGAAACAATTGCGAAATATTCGTGAAATACCACCCAAACCCAAACACAGCGAAATAACCAAAATACGTTGAAATGACAAGTCATTTCCCCTTCGACTCTTGAGGAGTTCGGCGGAGCGAAACGGAGGCGACGCACTGCAGTGACTGACTCAAATGTGACCGAAGGAAGCTGTCACCTGCTGCTCCTGCCCTTACCCTCTTACCCTTCCGCCTAGCCTGCCTCCACCCATGGAGTGCTCCATGCCTCCACCACTCCACCAAGACCAGGCAACACGCTGGTGGCGGTCAGGAGAGCAAAAGGACTGCTGACCTACGGCTGACTCATATGTCTGGGCCGGAGGCTGGCGCATGGCTGGCGCTGATACGAAGCGGTGCGGTCTCTTTGTCACCATACTGCACTTCCTCGGCCAGCGAGCCAGTGCGGGGAGTCACAACATCCCCTCCTCCCTCTCCCACTCCCGCGCCGCATCCAGCGGCCCTAAGCACCGCGCCCAGCTATGCTGAGAAGTCATAATATAAGACCTGACCCCCCACCCCCTCACCCCCTTCGGCTCTGTGGTGTTCATGGGGAAATATTGCACGATTGCTGCAGAGCGCTTAAACTTTAACTTCCTTCGCATCATCATCAACGAATTAAGTGTACCCGTCAAATATAACCCATGTAATGAGTAAAATGTATCGACGTTACATCTCGTTACTGACGAGGGTAACGATAACGCGTTACCGATACAGCCCAAATAAAAATGTAACGCGTTATCGTTTCAGTAACGAGTAACGCGTTACAGTAACTTCGTTACTGCGTTGTAACTTTAACAACCCTGAGCCTGTCCTTTGCGTCCAGACACCGTCCAAAACCCGTCTTTTGTGTCCGGACGTCGTCCAGGACATGTCCCACGTGTCCTGAACCCGTCCAGAACCCGTCCTGTATGTCCTGTATCCGTCCAGAATCTGTCATGTGTGTCCTAAATCCGTCTAGAACCAGTCCTTTGTGTCCGATCGTCGTCCAGGACATGTCCTCTGTGTACAGAATCCGTCTTGAAATCATCTTCTGTGTCGTCAGCCGCACAACTCATCCTGAATTCCCTTTCAAGTCCGTCGTGGTTTGCATGTATGTATATATGTCATATCTCTCCGTGTACAGGCAAGATCCCGTGTAAAACGGTGTGGCTGAAATCCGTCTTATTTTCGTTTTCCCGAGGGGACGCCGGGAAGACGAAGAAAAGGTCCAAACGGCTTGCCGTTTTGTCTTTTCTTCGTCTTCGCGGCGTCTCCCACTCGACTCTATTCTGTACACATTAGAGACGAGCTGGAGACGAAAAAGAGACCACCGCCTCACTCGCCAGTCAAAAACGTTGTGCGACCGCGCACCGAACCTCGGATCTGCTAAATGCAAGTCCGTCACAATATCCACTTGGCCAGAGTAAGACACCTGAGAGGGACGACGTGAGGGACGAGTCGCATGCGGCCGGCACGGCTAAGTGCAGCCTGGCGACGATTCAACGGGAACAGACCAGGGTCAGACTCTCGCTCATGGTGAACTCCTTATACAAACTCCATAAATAAAAAAAAATAAATCA